CTCAACCCCACCTCAGCTCCTACAAGCCCCTATAAAAGGCACTTGCTGTCCTGGCCATATTGCTTTTGTCTCTCCTTTGTTCAGAGACAGCCCGGCAGATCTGTTCCCTTAATAAAGGCTTGTTGTGGCCTGGTCTGGTCTTGGTTTTCGGCCCTTTTATCTGACAAGAACCATTTTTGTTTTCTTTTAAAAACTGGGTCCTGAGCCTGTGAACAATAAAGGATGAAATGTCACCCATGTTTCTTTTACTGTGTTTCCTTTTAATCCTAGGCACTCTTGGCTACCGGCTTCTTTTTTTTTGGTGCCGGGGATCAACTCGGGACTTTATGCGGAGGAACCACTGGCTAAATCTCCAGCCGGGCTACCAGTTTTTTTTCTTTTCTTTTCTTTTTTAAAAAGCTGTCTCATTTATTATTTAGGCTATTTAGGCAGTATACTTATGTTGTAAATGGAAGCAAATTTTTCAATTACTTTTTAAAAAGTAAATAGTAATTAATGAATTTACTGTTATACTCAAAATCGTCTACGTTTAAGGTGAGAATCTTTGCCAACAGAAAGGCGCTGCTCCAAATTGTGAATGGTATTACGAAGAATTGCAATCTCTTTGTTTTTTTCTTCTTGAAGATGTTGAAGCTTCCTTCTGTAGATACTCTGTGGGGAAATAGTAGCATCTGGATATGGTTTTGACTTAGTCTGGACTCTTGCTAGTTTGACATCAAACTCCAGCTGTAGTTTGATTATTTCATTTTGCTTTTCTTTTTCTTGAGTTACTAACTTTGCATTTAACTCTGAGATTTCCTTCTCCTTTTTCTTTATTAGATCTTTGTGCTTTTCTTCATTTAGTTCAACTTTTTTCTGTATATCATGATAAAGTTTGGTTATTTCTATCTTATGTTCTTCCTCTTTGATTTTCATTTCATGTACAAGTTTGGCAATATTATTCTAATAGTCCTGTTTGTGAGATTTCAGCTTTTCCCTTGTCATATCAACATTTCTTTTTAGTTGTTCATTTTCACCTCTCAAATTGTGTTGATATTCAATGGTCTGTTGTAGCCCTTTTATCATATCATGAAGAGCAGCACATTCTTTTCTGTCTGTGAAAAATCCTTTATAAGTTTGTCAATATTCACACTGCTAATCTTTTTTGTACATTCTTTGCCACTTTGATCCATGCTTGAATTGCTATTGTTCCTGGTTCCTCAAAGTCTCCCCCGCCTCAATTGGCAGTCCAGTCCGGTCCGGTCCCTGGGCTACCAGTTTCTTAACACATCTCTCCTCTGCTCTGTTTCTTGGAATGTCACATCCCATCTCCATTTTCCTGAACACCTAGCTCTGACTGAAAATCAAAATTCCTTGTAACAATATCCCTACCCTCCTCAGTCCCTTCTCTGGAATCTTCCAGGAGGGCCTGCCTGGCTGATAATTCAGCAGGAAAGGAGAGTTCTTCCCCACCCCAACATCTTGCTCCCTCTGTGGTTTTTCTTTGACTGGGTCTGTTAGAGGAGCCTGTGAGTGGACTACTCAGAAGCTGAGAGACAAGCAGTCGATTTCATTTATGTGAGGGGGAGAGACATTAGCCTGTTTTCCTAGTGTGGGTCATAGAAGCAGAATCCCCACATCCCTGGCTATGACTCCTTCTGTGCTGCTCACCGTGGTCACCAGCCGATCCCGGTCCTTGGCCTTCCCCACGTGGCACACGGTGCCCGTCACACTGAGTCCCTCGCCCTTCAGCGTGGCCACTGCGCGGTCCACGTTCTGCTGCTTCCGGCTGCTGATGACCACATGGGCCCCGTCCTGGGCCAGACGCCGGGAGATGGCAAAGCCGATCCTGAGGACAGAGAGATGGAGAGGATGTGACATTTCAGCCTTGGGCTGAGTCCTGGTTTTTTTTAGTACATGTTTGCAGTACACAAAGATTACACTTATGGTGGGGAATTGGTACATGTATATAGTACATATTGTTTTATTATTACCTCCCGCCTCCCTGCTCCTTCCAACTCTGGGTCCCCTTTCCATTTGCAAAAACCCCATTTTTATCATTTTTCCTCTGAATTCTGTTTTTTCCACTCCCTCTCCTTTCCCTTGCTCTCTCCTCTCTTCATCTCTTGTTCCCCTAGCCATTTGAAAAAAAATCTCTCTACTTCCTACTTATTTGTCTTCTGTTTTGCTCTTTATATAACTATGTTTTTGAGTTTCTCTTATAAGAAAAACCATTCAATATTTAAGCTTGTGTGTCTGACTTATTTCATTTAACATTATGATCTCAAGTTGTATCTATTTACCTACTAATGCCTCAAGTTTATCTTTCTTTATGGCAGAGTAGTACTCCATCATGTATATATACTATATTTTCTTTATCCATTCATCTGACGATAGGTATGTAGGCTGTTCCCAAAATTTAGCTATCACAAATTGTGCTGCTGTAAACATGGGTATACATGTATCTGTGTAATATGATGTCTTCAGCTCTTTTGGGAAGTTATCTAGAAGAGGAATATCTGGGTCAAATGGAATTTCTACTTTAAATTTTTTGAGGAATCTCCACACTGACTTCCATGGTGCTTGTACTAATTTACATTCCCACCAACAAATGACTTCTTTCTTGCTTGCTATATTTCTCACCCTAAGGTCCCAAATGAATTTTCTCCCCTAACCCAGAAGAGCTAATATCATGTCCTGCTTAGGGTTGGTAAGATGAACAGAAGATACATCAGAAGATACATAAAGAGGGGATACATCAGTTGTGGGTGTATTGGACCCTCTGTGTACTGCATCAGAGCTTGGCCTCACCTCCTGCTGGAACTACTACAGTGACAACTCATTCCCAGCTCCTCAAAGCTTTGGTCTGCTTGGCAGCTGCAATCTTAAAGCTTCTTGTCTCAGGGCTGAGTGCTCACAGGGATGCAGCTTAGAAGGATGGAGTTGTTATATAGTGACAGAGGGGAAGATAGGCAGGGATACAGGCATGGCTGATGTGCCGGACGGTTTTAGAAATGACCACTTGCTTACTAGAAATTGTCCTTGTGAAACCTTTGCAGGTGTGGGACAGTTATTTTAGGGGCCAGCTTGCATGCATTTACTGTATGCCCCTAGACCCCATGACCCTTAGCTCATCTCAGCAACAGCTCACCCCAGCAACCAAGGCTAACTCTCTGACTGGCCTAGAGTACACCAATCAGTGAAACAGTTAATTTTTAGGGATCCACTTAGCCCTATAAGTATGAATACAGTAGCCTTTGAGAAGCTCATTTTGAGTTCTTCCTGCCATGCCGCTTGCTACTTGGCAGCTTTGTCCCTACCTTGTGATATTATAAATAAACCTCTCTTGGCACTCCTTACATTTCTGACTTCCTCATTCTTCACGGACCTGACCTCCCTATTTTCAGCCAATGGGTTTTACTTGAGCCAGCATCGCCCTACTCCTTCATTCCGAATCGGAAAACCAGGTCTTTTTTTCAGGAGACCTCTAGCTGCCCAGACCCCCTCAGGATGCTACAATTACCTTATGAAGCATAACTATAGACTAACGAGGTATGGAGCAATGACTGGATTCCTTCTCCCTTTCCCTGGTGGGTGCCTTTAAAATGCAGTTCATGATTCCTCCTGGAACTGTGGACCCATCACCAGGGTGCCTATCATGGGGCCATCTTGGTAACCCATTCTGCACTGGCTATATCTGGTTTTCTTGTTTCTTCTCCTGTCCCTTTTCCCTCTTACCATCTCATATTCCCAAAACTACTGGTGCTTCAGCTTTGGAAGCTCCGGTTTGTAGAGATCAGGCCAAGACAATGCTGTCAACAAAATCAAAAGATTGTCACAGTTTCAGAATTCCCAAAGAGTTGCTCTCACCCAGATGTGGATCCTGTGACTACAGCAACTTTGTTGGCCAGTTTGAGCCCATTATTGGTCCCACTGCTGGTGCTTCTCATGAGGCGTGGAGGTGCCAGAGGAAGGAGGCTCTTCAGGGTCAGAGGTTGAAACATGGTTTCTGTTTGCTCTTCCTCTTGGTGAGCTCAGTTCTGGGAGTGAGGCTTTACAAGGGCAGACAACTCCGACAAGCAGTTCCTGCAAGTACAGAAGTGAAATAGCATCTCCTTTGTGTATGATAGAGCTGGGATGGTCCAGGAGTCACTACTGGAAACTTAGTGCCTGCATCTTGAGCCCCTCGGATGGTTATATGAACACAGGATTTCTTCTATTAAATATCTCCTTTTAAACTAGCTAGAGTGGTTTTTATTAGCTGGAGTCAAATCATAGCATATACACTTTATTCATCCAAATCTGAAATAACTTTATTCATTGAGACTCTAGATAATGAATGGATAATTCACAGGTTTGTTGTGAGAGGACCAAATAAATTTAAGAGTCAGATGTAAAAGGGCTTTGTGAACTGTAATGTGCCTTCATGCAAGTTACTGCTGAAGGGTGATGAGTTTTATCCTTTTATCCTTTGGGTTTCTCCCCTCAAGCCTTGGGACACACCCCCCTGCCCTCCTTGCAGTGCTCTGTGCTGGCTGCTTTTCACCTCTAGCCTTTTCTCCTTCTAGGTTCATCTTTGTTTCAGCATGTGAGGGGAGTCCTTTGTACCCCCACAAAGCTTTTGGATTTATTGTCTCCTCCATGTGACAGAGTGGCCCCATTCTTACTTCTCATTTGTCTCACTAATTCTTAGGGACCATGTTGAACTCATACTTCTTGCAGGTTGTCCTTACTGCTTCTTGGTATTTGTTGAATAAATGAGTAAATATATGAAAATATTGTGTCATTGATATAATGATTTCTTCAGGTCCTCACTAGGTCCATGGGTCAAATTCATTAGTCTCAGCAGATCAGACTCTTTCCCCAGTCTCTCAGTTGTGTCAGTTCAACTCTGGTCTCAAAACATTTATTATAAAGTAGCCATTCTTGTTTTTAAATGTTCGCCCACTGTGTGGTGTGAGGCTTTGTGTACAAAGTAAACTTGTGATTTCCTGGTATGTAATTTAAGACCTTCTCCTCAAATCTCCGAGAATGGATAACTATGTACTTACTTCCCTTATTATAGCACTTTGATTTTAAGTGAATCTTAAAGCAAATATCAAAGCAGATAAATGCTTTTAATGCAAACTTTAAAGCCAAAGATCCAGCCAGCTATCACCCAATTGGCTTTTAGGACTCTAGTGGTCTGCACATATTGAAACATTTACTCAAAATTTAGTAGTTCTCAGGTTTGGGGGACAGCATATACTATACAGTACTTGGAAGTTCTACTCTAACCCATTTATTGTGTGATTGTGAAGGCTGTATTGAATGGAACCCAGAATAAAAGACGGTTCTCCAGCAAGTTAAGATGTGGTATAAGCAGCTTGCCTCTCGAGCCATAGGACCTGGAAGATTACATGGAATCATACATATGTGAGCTGATGAAGATCTGTGTAGAATCTTTGATAAGTCCCTCAGAGGGTCTTAGTGCAGAATTTTAGAATTTTGGAGCAAGATTATGCTTAATGCAGCAAAGAATGATATTTCAAAAATTAGTCCTGGTTCTGTGGTAGAGACTGAGCAAGTCACCATACAATATGAAAGGATAGTGTACTAAATCAGCCCATCATATCATACATAGTGTGATTAGACTAATTTAATCCTGTGAACCATAAAGTTAACAGGACACAGGAGCAATCCATGATGAGCAGGAAGTGGTGCAATAGGGATCAGGCCCAAGGAGGTCCAGAGTAAGTTACGCAAGCTGGTAGCGTAGACTCTCATGTCACTCCCTCTATTATACTGATGCCTCTCCCTCAGCCTCTAGTCACACCTTAGGGCAGTGTTCCCTAAGGCCAGATGGCAAAGGAGGGAGGAAACTGGTTTTAGATAGACAGATATGATATATTGATACAGGCACTAAATAACTGTTATGGTTACAGACTGACTAAAATGGCCCTAAAAGACAGTGACAAGGACAATTCCTTCTGATAGGCAGAAACTTGAGAAGTAGACCTTTGTTAGTTGCTCTGTGGAGAGAGGAAAGTGGCTTGTTGTGTTTAACACCAGAAACCAGTTCCCCAATTCTCTGACAGCAACTGGGCATCCTATAATGCAATTCAATTATGAGATGAAATATTTGGAGTTTGTGCAGACACTATAAATTAGGAGACCAGTTCCACAGATTGCCTGTACTTTGGACACCAATCACAAGTCCTGGACCACCCATCCTTCTGGCTGTAAAATGGGGGTTCCCATTATTTTCACTTCAGGTTTCCTAATTTGCTAAAATAAAATGACTCACAGAACTCAGTAAATCACTTTAAATTATGGATACAACTTATGAACAACCAAATGGGAGGTGTGTGTAGGCAAGATAGTGGGGCTGTGGGGGCATGGAGATTTTATGATCTCTCTATTCATAATACCCTTAGCACTTTGAGATGTTCATTAATCTGGAAGTTTCCTAATCCCTTTTTGCTTGGGGATTTGTTTCATAGGCATGCTTGATTACATTACAGGCCATTGGTACATGGATTCAGTCTCAGCCCCTTCTACCTCCCATAGATTGAAAGGTAAAGCTGCAAGTTCCAACCCTCTAATCTTGACTTAGCCTTTTTAGTGAATATCCTGTAGCTACCTAGGACTCCAAGGTATCAGTTAGTATATCATTCACATATGGGAGACACTCATATCACTTAAGAGATTCTAAGAGTTTTAAGGGTACTGTGGCACAAACTGATTAAAAAATAAATGTATCCTTTTTATAATATCATAGATATCCATGGACTTGTGGGCAGTAAGACATGGTTTGGCTTATTGATTGGGGCTGGGAAGGAGTGCAATTAGGAAATCAGAGACAGGAAGGTTTTGGGAAGAGATATGTGGATGGACTAATAGGGGGAACATAAATTACATGTATCATTACATTGTATGTTAATCACAAAGTAGTTACTACAGAGAAGATATTCAACAAATAAGTGGACCAGATGACTTGGCCCACAGGGTCAGCTAGTCTCTGTCCTAAACTTCCTCAGTATGTTCAGGACGGACCTAGAAATAGAGGAGTCTTGGTTGGAGGGAGAGGGGTAAGGCAAAGACTTAAGAATTGGCTTCTTTTCACTAAGGCTTATCTGTGAAGCCACTTCTAAATGTCTAGTGCTGGGTTGTGACCCATGCTGAAGGTGATGAGGTACTGTATTGGTTTGGCTGGCCTGCTACAACAAAGTACCATAGACTGGGTGGTTCCATCTCTGTGACCTAATTGCCTCCTTAAGGCCTCACCTACAAGTATCATCTCAGTAATTCTCAAAATGTCAGAATTCAGAACATCTCATCACAGGTGAATACACTTAATTTCTAATACTGGGCTCCACTCTTAACCAGGTTAAGGTAAAGATAAGAAGCCCTGAGACCTCAATCATTAAAGAATCATACTGCAAAACAGGAGGTGAGGCCATGAGCTGCCAGTGTGGAGCTTGAGGTTGAGAAGAGAGAATCAGTGTCAAGAGAGTAGGGGAGTAATTGCTACAGAGCATGAAGCTGGGCAGCATCAAGGGCCCATGTAGAATGGGTGGTAATGGAGCTCAATAATGGATCCCATGATATGACTTGGTAAATTGGGTTTGCACCACCTTCCTACTCAACTCATATTGAATCTGAAGTCAAGTGAAATTTTTATTTATAACTTTTATCTAATATATATTGAAAAATTTGGCAATATCCTTACACCAGTGTCACTGAACAATTTGGCTTCATTTGTTCAAAGGTGATTCCCCCCTGGCTAATAACAACCTATATGAGTGCTGAAAAGAGCTGGAAAAAAATGCATACATTTAAGTTCCTGGGACAGCTACTTTCAGCATTGCATATTTTGTGTCAGTACTACTATCACTTTACTCTTGTACAACTCAGAGTTGAGTTGCAGAAAGATGGAGTCCTTCAATAAAAATTATCAGTGTATCTACTGGCCCATTACACAATATATCAGAATTTAGAACATCTTAAAACAGGTGAAAACACTTAATTGCTAATACCAGGCAGGCTCTACTCTTTACCAAATTATGATAAAGATAAGAAGTCTCGAGACATCAGTTATTAAAGGAGGCATACCAGTAACCAACTGGGATATTCCTTCATTCTGTGTCAACACCCCACAGTAAAAATAAGGAAGAAAACTGTGACTTTCTTCCTTTTTGAGCTCAGCTAACCAAAAGAAGAGATAAGAGAGGAAATTTTACATAGCTTTGAACATTAGTGTTTCTTAGGGAGAAACATCTTTAGGATAGACCACATATGCATATTGAATACTTGAAAGTTGATTATTTTTGTTTAAGCATATATATATATATATATATTTTTTTCTTTCTTTCCTTTTTTTTCTTTTTGAACTCATCCAGGCTGGCCTCAAATTTATAGCAATCCTCCTGCCTCAGCCTCCTGAACACTGTGATTTATAGGATTGTGCCACCACGCCTGGCATATTTTAAAGTCTTTTAAATGATCACTTTGCAGTTCCAGTTAAATTTGATTTATAATTTTGTTTAAATTTTTAAAAAATTTGTACATGTTTGCAGTATGTAATGATTACAGTCATTATGAGGAGCTAGTTTTTTAAAGAAAGCAACTTATCAAAGCCTCTTTTATATGATATACAATTTAGGAGTAAAAGCCAATGATTTTTTTTTAGATGCTCTACCAAGTGGTACAACCATCACATTGTCTTAGAAAATTATTTTTGCAATAAGATCCCTCATACTCTTTACAGCTAATTCTTATTTCTGTCTCTTACCCCAGGAGACTTTGATCTATGTCTTGTCCCTATATATTTTATAAACTTGTGTTCTGAGTCTTTCATTTGAATGAGGAAAATTAACTTCTTAAAAATATATATGACTACTTACCTCTTGAAAAACCTTCATGTATACGTTGTCCTGTAGCACTGTCATGCCCAAAGGATGGGGCATCTGTCTCAGGCACATGGAATTTTGTGGAGAATATTGTGTATTTCAATACATACTTT